CCAGGTATAGGGTCTTCTTGACATGGAGTTGTAATCCATACTGAAGGCTACATTCCTTAATCTTCATCAGCAAGTGTTTCAATTCCTCCCCACTTTAAGCAAGGTTGCATATCTGCATATCTCAGGTTATTAATAAACCTTCCTCCAATCCTGATGCCACATTATTCTTCAAGAAAGATTTGTTTATTCTTTGGACCATCCATGGCTATTTCAATATTCTTTGTGAACCTCAAGTTCTTTATCCATTCACTAAACGTCACAAGCACATAAGATGATTGAAAATACTATAGCTTGAGTCAGGTATACCTTCTCAAGGTTAAATCTTTGCTCTCTAATACTATAGAGGTCTTTTGTAGCAGATTTGCCTAATGCAATACATCATTTGATTTCTTGACTGCTGGTTCCATGGGCATTAATTATGGATCCAAGTAAAATTCATCTTGACAACTTCAAATTGTTTTCCATTTTGTTTATTATGAAGATATCTATTGGCTCAGTTGGAGGATTCCCCCCCTCTTTACCTTGAGGCTGTATTTGCTGACTTTCATTATGATGGCTGATTTAAGACTTTTGATAGGATAGGTATGTCATCTGTATATCCTTCCAACCCTCATACCCTGTTCTTGTTCATATAGTTCAGCATACAGATTGAATAAGTATACAACCCTAATCTACCACTTCTGTCAGTTCACCATACGGTGATGTCTTGTGTGATGCTGTGATACGAGAAGATAGAAAACCTTATGCATATCTTCAAAACATTGTCAGGTACTGAAGGCCTAATGGGTGAGTGGGAGAACATTGTGGGAAATAGTGCTGGAGGATGGGCCCTTGAGTTGGAGGGCACTCAAAATGTGACTAAGGAGGAGCTGATTTCTTGGAGAGGAGTGGACCATGGTGCCTTGAGTCCAGTAAAGCCGGTGGGAGTGGAACCTTTGGCATCTTTGTTTTCTGATGGGGCACAACTCAACATAAGAAGAAACAGCTGCAAAAATCTGCTAATGATCAGCACTTGGAATGTGCTAAATAGGAGTCTAGGAAAATCAGAAGTCAAAAATGAAATGGAATGCATGAAGATCCATATCCTAGGCATTAGTGAGTTGAAATGGACTGGTATTGGCCATTTTGAATCAGAAAATCATGTAATTTATTATGCTGGGAATAACACAATCCAGAAGAATAGCATTCAGTGTCAAAAAAATAGCATTCACTGTCAAAAAAACCCCACACAGACCACTTCAAGATCAATCTCAAAGTTAAACACTGTCTGTCTTAAGATTATATTTATCTGCCTTCAGTGAAATCCAATCAATACAAATACTAGGGGGTACCCCCCCCCAAATGGGGAAAAATAGCTCAGCTGCATGGAGCTTTTTTAGTACATTTTTTCCCCACTAGGTGAGCATCCAGCAACTTTCTCTGAGTTAGTGCACCCAGTGGTGTCACCTGGGGAGGTTCTCTCTGGTCACAGTGAATCCTAAAAGCCGTTTCACTCGAACCTCGTTTTTTTGTGATGGCCAACTTAAGAGAACAGTGTGCAGCTGTGAAATTTTGTTTCCTGCTTGGGAAAAATGTTGCAGAAACTGTTGTGAGGTTGAACACAGTTTTCAAGGAGAGCACTAGGGGGGAAACTCAAATTATGAGAGGTTTATTCATTTCAAAAACAGTGAAATGTCAATTGATGACAAACCTCATTCTGGACATCTATCAGCTTCCAGAATGAATGAAAATGTCGATTCTTGGTGCTTTTGGAGTTCGTTCCACCAGGTCAGCCTGTTAATTAATCTCTCTATTTAGAGGTTGTGAAAAGATAGGCTAACAGTGTGCAAGAAAAAGGCCTGATTTGTGGCAGGTGGGGGACTGTTTTTGCCACCACGACAATGCACCTGCTCATGCAGCCATCTCAGGGTGCCAGTTTGTGGCAAAAAATCAGCATGCCTCTCTTACCCTATGCACCTGACTCATCTGATCTCACTCCATGTGACTTCTTTTTGTTTCCACAAATAAAGCGGGACATGAAAGGACAGCGATTTGACAATGTAGAAGAGGTGAATTAAAAGATGAGGGAGATACTGCCAGCTAGCCAAACAGATGAGTTTGAAAAATGTTTCCAAGAATGGAATCACGGATTTACAAATGTATTAAGTGTAATGGAGAGTACTTTCAAGGTGATAAGGCTGTTTTGCTTTTAAAAAATTAAATACATAGCGTTGAAAACAAATCTAATTTCCTTGGGGTACCCCGTCATATTATTCAAATTTATGCACCAAACACGTAAACTAGACATGAAGAAATTGAAGAATTCTACCAACAACTTCAGTTGGAATTTGACCAAACATGCAATCAAGATGCATTGATAATTATTAGCAATTGGTATGCAAAAGTTGGAAACAAACAGGAAGGAACAGTAGTCAGAAAACATGGATTCAGTGCTAGAAACAAAACCGGAGAAGAACATCGTGTTTGGTGAAGGGGAGGGGCAGCAAAAAAGAAGAAGGCCCCAGTGAGATGGATGACCCAGTGGCTGCAACAATGGGCTCAAGCCTAGGAACAATTGTGAGGATGGGGCAGGGACCTGGCCGTGGTTCGTTCTGTAAGAATAAGGTCCCTATGGGTCAGTACCAACTCGATGGCACCTAACAACAACAACCCTAATCGCCATCTCTTGTGACTTTAATCAAGGGAACTGCCTCTTGGCTAGGGAAATCTCCTTCACTGCCATGGAGTCCAGTCTGACTTCTGGTGACCCTATAGAACTGAGTGGAACTGATCCCTGGGCTTTTGAGACTGTAACTTTTTAGGGGAATAGCAAGCCCTCGTGGAGCAGCTGGTGATTTCGACCTGCTGTTGGGGTTAGCAGCCCAACA